GGCAGCAGTAAGTGCAGTGGAGGTGACATGGTTGTCACAGACGACAGGGAAGACATGAGAGAGAGGCAAGGTACGTCGTCTCTGTAACTATTCAGGAACTCCATCACGTTGGATATCGGATGTAGTCTTGGGGAATACGTGATACGTGACTATTGTGCTCCAGTTGTGTCATGAAACGTCAGTCTTCCAGGCAAACGAGATCTGTTCCTTTTGAGTGGTGCATAACGAGCCGAAATAAAGGAGATGTTAAGATGGTGGCAAAGTAAAGTGTCGACTGAAATACGCAGCGTGAATCGATTGAAATGTTGATGATGCATTGACCTAGGTGAAACACCGAGGTCGATTTCGTGAGTAAATGTGTAGCATTGCCCGGGTACTAGCGCATATTTCCTGTCTGTGATCAACTGTCCAAACTTTTTCTGCTGTTGGCGTTTGGTTTTTGTTTACTCGTGCACATCCCTGTTATTTATTTACCCCACCATGATTGCCCATGTCCATGCGCACTTCATGTGCTGATTTTCTGGTTGCACTAGGAGGTTGGGTCATTTTTCGATCGAAGCAGGCTCCTGTTTGCGTTTTGGGCCGTGAGTTTGCTGCTAAGCCTTGTTTGCTCTTATCATTTCTGCATTACCGCGATAGTCATAGTAAATCAGTTTTAACGCACCAAGAAGCTGAGTGGCTTTCCTTCCAGATGACGTGGTTGCTTTTCTACTGTTTATGTTGGAGGCTCCGTGGTTTATGAAGGCGCTGGTGTTATTGATTTTTTGTTGGGACGATGAGGAACTGAATTTTTGGAGTTGGCTTAGAGCAGACTTAAGTTCCTAATTTGAAAGAAACGACTTTTGTCCCACTTTCAATCACAACGTCCAGAGCGTTTAAATTATTCACATTTCTGACCAAACATTCCCCATTGCCAGGCCTGAAGCCTGTAATTAGAGTTCCTGCAAATTCCTTAACCACAAGGAAACGTGGATGTCGCATTTCACTGCAGTTGCTTTCTTGGCCATGCCAATGACAATTCTGGTTAAAATAGAAATTTCGCTTGTGTGATTTCCTGGTTAAAGTAAGGAGGAAATCAGTGGTTAAGTAAATACTTATTCGTAAAAATAACAGCCTTTAGAACTGGCTAATGGGAGAATGAAAGCAGTAATAAGAGAAGTTTTTTTTAATAAATCCTATTAACGATTATAAAAATGGATTATTTCGTTCTATTTGGAAACCGCATTTCAGGTGACTTGAGCTCACACATATTTGGCTTTGTTAAGCGCAATTTCCCGAAGAGGAACGCTCTTCAATTACCGTTGATTTCCATTAATTCCAGTGTCAGAAGTGGAATGTCAGTTTAAAAAAAGCCTCTTACTGGCCCCTTGATTTGCGACTTGTAAATCACTCGTCATATTTATATTTCACAGTAGTTAAAACACCAAACGAGGGACGTTTGTTAATGAAATCGCATGGGAATTGTTGACTAGGTTCGGAAGAAAACATTGTTTGTGTTTTTTTGGGGGGGTTAACAAGTGGGTAGCCGTGCAGTTTCGACAGGATCTGGGTTGCTAGCCACACAACTGAAATGCGTAGGCAAGTTTCCTCGGGCTCACACGAACAACAGACGTTTACTAGAACACAGCGACACAGTATTCTTAGCGTGTGTTGTGTTTCCCTCCGTCTTTGTTCAACGGGCTCTTTGGGTGTCAACAAACAAAGTGATGTGAAAGTAGCCCACCACAGCTGCACTCCCAAAATCGCCAACTTGCTAATCAAGCACGTTGCAAAGTATTAATCCCATTCGCTTTTTTTATATTGGGTTTCGGGGACCGTTTGTTGTAATTTGATACTGCATGAATTTGGCCGTTTCTTCGCCTTTCCCAGGGATTTCAGAATACAGCCTGTCAAAATCATGCGGAGACAATTGCTCATTTGAAAAATGCTAATAGGTTATTCAGTTAGATTCATCTACTTTAAAACGCCGAATTTGGCTCGCAAGTTACGTCCGCAGATTCTGCTTTGCCGCCTATTTGTAAGCCTTTTCATCAGGAATGTAGCGAGTTCCCTAGTTCAATGAAAGTTCTTAAATTTTTACATCCAGTTAACTATGAGTTTTCGATATTCGATGGACCTTCTTGCGTACAGTTGACGATACTTGTCGCGTAGCAAGTAATTTGTTTTACAGAAATACCAGAGACAAGCCAGTTTATGTCATGGACCTTTGTAGGCGTTTCCAATTTTAGACTTGACTAAAAACACGATTCTCACTTCAAAGTAGGCAAAAGGTCTGCATAATTTATATAACTGCGCAATAAAAGTGATTTCCTTTCACACAGCGTCGTTAAGCGCACGCATACCTTCCCGTTTGTGTTTTTATCTGAAACCAGGGTTCCAAATCACCCCTCCCCCAGCTTGATTGTTAGGCCATTGTTTACAAAACTAGGTGTTTATAGATGAAGTCTTAAGGATCATTCATCAATCATTTTAAGCTTAAACGGGTGCCCTTGCCTTTTTGTAGCTAATTTAATTCGTGACGGTTAATCAAGTGGTAACTTATTTTGCCTTTTGGATATATTGAAAGTAAAAGACAATTGGAGTGGGTAAAGCAATTAGTTACAGAGGTGTGGGTGAAAAGTACATGGTCACTACACTTGATAATCGAGTCCACTGTGTGATGTACCATGCAAGGGCACTGTACCACGGATAATGTTTATACCGATTGCTGCTTGGTGTTCTCACATGGTGGCTGTAAAAGTCACTTCATCAGTTGCCAGTGGTTACGTCCTTGTACTTGTGCCGTAGCGAGTTCAAACTGGTGTAGATTCCAGGGCAGCATTTGAAACACTAGAAACCGCATCGAAGCCGTTGTGAGTGAAGCTAATGTGTTTTGAGAATGGGCTTGTCATCGTGAGTTAATCACAAGCTGTTGCTACAACTCCGTGATAAATGCCAAACATGGAGTCCGTGTTTCTCTTGTGCATTTGTCATTCTTCACAACCTTCGTACTATTGTTGACATCCGTGGTAATTTTTTTTTGCAAGAGAGTATGATTGAGTGGAGTTTCTTCATAGCCTGTTGCTTCTTGTAACACCAGCTAGTGCATCTTATCTGCGATGGCATCAATCCTTTCCTCCTGAACGACGCGTATTCAAATAGCAAGGGGCTGAATTTAGGAGGTAATGGGAACACTGTGGAAGGAGTTTGGCCTTTGTGTAGATAAAAGCATGCGTTTTCTGGGATCACTTATGGTGCTTGCCCTCCAATACCGGGTTCGTCAGTACTGAAGGTCATTTTATCATTCAAACCTCGCGTGACCTTGGAGTTAGTTCTAGACTGTAGAGCATGTCAAGACTGCTCTATTTGAAAGTCGTCTGCGTCCTCAAGAATTACAGATTCGGTCAAATGTAACCAAAAAAATATTACGGTATGTTGTTGCTAAGTAATGGTTCTTCATTTTGATCATTTGTGAGATTGTGTAATAAAATTGTATTGGGTTCTCCATTTAGTACAAAAAGTTAAGTAACATAAAACTTGCGCCCTCTTCACTAGGTACTTCGCTAAGTGGCACGCACATTCGGAAGTTCCGCGTTTTTCAGGCAAAACCGATGTTTTTTAGGTAACCTTAAAAACACTAGTGTAGATTTAGGTCATCGAAACGCACGCAGATCAGGCGGATCATATCGTAGTCATTTCCGAGACCTTGAGGTAGATGTACCAAAAGGTTTATGACCTTACAAGTGGGAGTTGGTGGGAGGTTTTCCTGTTCACCTATGCCCAAATCTATTACTCGTGTCCTTCTGATGCAGTTTTGCCACGTAAAATCGCGTAATAAAATTGGCAAGTCCCCCTTTCACTGCATCGACACCTTCACGCGAGTCTTTCCCAGTCGTCCGTTAACCGTCTTTTACAGCCCACCAAATGTCTTCTTCTAGCTTTAAAAATTTACCTGAGAATTCTTGCTTTCAATAATTTGCTTCTTTTATGTAAAGAAGAACAAATTATTTTCTCTTGCAACTTGGCGCAAAGATTGTGAATTTGGATTGACAAGTTTGACGCAAGTCAGCTGAAATCTGCACGGTAATAATGTTTCAGCCACAATTGGGAACTGACCTCGGTTTTTGTTGCCTTGCAAAAATCAGCCAATCAAGTACATCGATAACCTGATTTTTGGTGTTTTTATTTCACACGATTGCACGGACACCGGTTCTGCTGTGTGTGTTCGCGTTTGGGCTTACACGAAGGCCTTCTTAGTGTTAGTACAGTATCGTCCAAGTGACTAAATGTCAAAAAGGGCGTATTGCGGACGCTAACCGGGGATTTCGGGGTGACAAGGTCATGGCGCATGTCCTTCAGCAAACTTCCTAGTTTGCAGTGTATGAATAGCCCGAGACTGGCACCTCAAGATCTAATGGAGCGTCCAAGACGAACAACTCTCAATTCCCAAGTTCTCAAGGTCAAGGTTGACCGGTGAGGCTGCCAGAATCCCATCATTTGCTGGTAGGCAGGGATCTGAACACGAGATGCCGTCGTCGCTCACAGGATTAGCTAAGTTGGCCTTAACCTTTCCGTAATCGAGGCCGTTATCTACGTGACCTTAAGTTTGCTAACTTCGTTCCGACTCATCTGCATGCAGTCTCGTAAGGCACGTAGAGTTGGTGCTCGCAGATCCGTCATGTAATGCAGAGTCTCTTCGGTGACGTTGATGGCGGTGTGTGTCGACGTCCGTCTGTCGCCCTCTGTTAACGGTCCCGAGGGCCTAACGCTTGCGCAAGCATAGCCTGAAATAGCAGTCATTATGACATTGCCAAATTTAGCGAGATACACAGGAGGTAATTTATCACGCTTTGCTCTGCCACCACCGTCATTTGTCTGGCCAATCTTACAGCAGACTGACACCGCAACGCAATTAATTCCACGCACCGGGGCATCTTGTGTTTACCTCGACTAGCCCGTTGGCAATTAGTCAAGTGTGTTCTTGCTGCTCAGGGAATGCCCACTTCGGACACTGTTCAGGGAACTTATTTGGCATTGGCAGCATAAGCAAAATCAGTGCAACCACGAAACAATTACTATTCCTTATTAAATATTAATTGACAGTAGACGTTGGAGGTATCATGTGTCCTTTGGCGAATAAATTATTACTAGGGTGTTCGGTAGCCACAGGTAGTGACATTTCAACGTTATTAGTGTATTCATTGCACTGATTGGTTATGGCGATGATCCTGAGGACATGATTGATTTACTGAAACCGAAGTTATCTCAAAAAGTAGCAGTTTGAAAATTGCTTGGGCTCCTACTCACGCGGACTTCAGTAATGCACATCCATAGTCTGGATTCTACATTAGCTCGCCAGTTGTCAGTCATAATATATATAGCGAAAAACTGTTATTCCAAGGTCCTTCTGTAGAACCCCACGGCGTTGCTTGACCCACTCGGGGTCACCTGGGAGGTGGGAACCAATCTGTTTTGTGGGATGTTTGGGCTTGAAGTCCAGCTAATTTAGTCTCATGGATCGAAATTTTATTAAACAACCTGAAATACGGCTGTTTGATTGCTTTAAAGGCCTGGTGGTTAAGTGGGTGTTCGTGGAGTTAAATTTCTCGGAACAGTCGCCGATTTAGGAGTTGATCTAAACGTCTACGGGACACTCAGTTTTGACACGTAATAGTCTACAAGAAACGTGTTCCATTGAAAGACCACGCTAGAACGAATCCCCAGCTGTCCTATCAGCATTTTCTTGGAGAACACAGTTCACCCGATTGTAGGTTGCTGCGTTTGAAAAGCTCAAACACCATGTGGCTTCATTTCCACGGGATTAAGGCTGCATTGTTTCAATCTGGTTTATGTGCCGCAATTTGAACAGGGGACGCAAAGATCCATGTATGCACGCCTTCCCGACTGTCAAATAGTCTGGATTGTTGACAGAACGACCCATGTTCCCATCGCTAAAGTTGGGATTCTACAGGAAGTCATTTTGCAGAGCGCTAAATCAAATCCGCATGTTTTACCAGGATCAATCAACATTGCAGGAGGCTGAGACTACTCCAGCAGAGGTATGGGGAACCTCCATTCTGAAACCAGCGAATCAGACCAGAGTAGCAATTTGGTAGGTGGATGTAGCAGAAAATTGACGTTAGCAAGACATGATTGACTGCGCACTTAACAATTCACTACATACCAGCCTCACTCGCTTGCTTTGAGTTTCCGCCCACCCTGTTTAATTGAGTAGGCTTTCCTTACAGGGGATGTTTTCTTTGATAATAGCAAAGATTTTCACAGGTTCAATTCAACATGCTTGCTTAGAGCGTTTCGTTGCAACGGAAAACTAGGGGGATCGTGACGGAAATATGTAATTTCTTGCCTCAATGACTAACTGCCACAATTGTCAGCTTTTAGGATGTCCACGTGATCAAATACTTGTATAAAAATGCAGTACTTATTGCAATTTTCTGTAGACAATAATCCTGATTAGTATCCTCATGATATCATCCGCGTACCACGTGCTCGTTGTCAACCTAACGTCGATGAAAATCACGAGGCTTAACGCAATTCTGCAATATTGAGACGAAAATGCACCGAACGAATTAGCCGAACCCTCGCAAATCAGGCACTAGGTGAAATGTATGTCGGACACAAGTCTGGTGTGTGAAAAAACGTGAAAGTTCACTACAAATGGCTGGGAGATTGTTTATTTGGGGGCGATTCCATCGTGCTGCGGGATTCGGATGTTAAACTGATGCAGAAGTGCACTGCGATTCCCTAGTTTGCCCTGAGTTCACTAACTCGCGTCCGTCGCTCAAAATTGCAAAGGTTCTATTCCCACTAGGTCCTGCTGAATACAATTTTTTTCCCTGATCATCACATGATGCTATGGCTCTACAGACTCAAACGCCTTTCTAATAATCCCTGTGACTGGGGTTGTTTATGAAAGCGCGAACCATGACGCGTGCAATCTCTAGATCGTCCAGAGATAATGACTACTGACGCATTTGGTTGATGCGTCGAAGCCCACTTTTAATGCACACCAGGCGTGCTTGATTTCTTTGTAATATTGCTCGTGTGTGTGTGTGTTAAAACACCATGTCCAATCGGCTTCAGTGCTTAATTAATCCACAGGTGTTTTCAATTAAAAAGTAGTTGCTATGACATATTTTTTTAGTTTACGCGGATTGTCGTTGTCAGATAACAACCAATTAAAACGCACGATACTTGTAGCACTTTTGAGCGAAGCGTGAAATGCGGATTTCGTGCGTTGTCGCGTTGCAATTTCCCATTCCATTGCAATTCGCACTGGAATCGTTTGAATCGCAGACAACGTAGCCTGCTCCGCCGAGTCACTGGGTCCAGACTTGTGAATCACTGGAGGTGGGAGGGGGTTATAGGGGAATTTACAGACGAATTGTCTTGGTACCGTGTCTTGTGATTTGAAGTCGGCATTAGCAAAAAACGGCCTTAGCTTGGGTGACACCTCTGCCTTCGACGCGGTGTTTGGGGCAGGTCTGTCACAATGCATTTGGTCAAAAATAATTTTGAAGTGCCTAGCAGACCACGAATTTTCCTAATTCCGATTTAAAATGCCCCCAGTTAAATGGAAAATTTTGCATTTTATTGAGAAACCCTTCTTTTAAGCTGTCATGATTAGCAGAAGGCTAGTTGAAAGTTACAGGGAATGTGAAAGTTTTGACTGCCTTGGATTCACTTCTGAGCGCTTTCCTAGCCCTAGTAAGAGTAAAATTCAAACAGCCTAAGACCGAATTGGTAAGAATGAGGCAGAATAGGTGCGGGCAATTTTTGACAGATGAGCTACCGCTACTTGACCTGTCCATGTTTACGCAAACGCTTGCCAGGCAGATAAGACTAATTTGTATTCGAAAAGAGCGGTGTTAGTCTTGGTGCATATTCCTGATTTCTTTATAAGGCATAAACTAACACGACTCCTAATTATACGACAACGATGCTGGTTATGCTCCTATCAACCAAAATATTAAATGACATTTAATTATTTTTGCAACGTGTGTTGTTGTCTTGAAAACATTTGGCTTTTAGATCATATTATGTCTTTTAGTAAATCGTTCGCTGGTTGGGTAAAAGTTGTGAGATTTTTAAATGTAAAGAAAACTAGGATTACTATGTCTTCCTAACTAAAAATTAACTCGTCTATGCTAGTTTCAACAAAAAAAAGTATGTGTCTTGGTTCAGGAGATCACCAAGAGACTCGTGTAATCAGTTAGAAATGCAGAATTCCTTTGTTGTCATAGCAACCACGAAACGTTTTTGGCTCCAAGAATTACTCTGCTCGAATAGTCTGGACGTGGTCAGCCCCTATCGAATGCTCATGCCTTTAACCACGCCGTTTTGAGCGCAAATTGGACTTGTGTACTTTTGTCCGTTGACAAAAGCACTTTTGTTTGGCTAGTGTCCGGTTGCAGTGCCGAGTGGAGCCCATGTTTGGCATTGATTGCATTAGGCACTGCTTAAAACGGAATGGGTGTTGCCCAACTCCGCTGTTTGACGTTTAATTAAATCGTCAAACGTCATGGGCTCTGCTCCCGTGTCGTACGTTTTCGCGAATCGACCGCTTTCTCAAAAACCCGCTTTCGAAATAAACCGTATGCCAGAGTGGTTCAAACGCGCTCTTCTACTTCTCACCACCGTCTTATTCACTTTTTTTAGAGCCACGCTTCTCAATTTGGGTATATGGTGAGTTACTCTATTTACTTCTGTATTGACAATTAATCCTTGTGCAAAATAAAGTGCATTTGGGTAAGGAATGATTTGACAAAATTGTCTACTAAAACTTCCAGAATTTCTAGCGTTGAAAAATACCCTTTTTTTCTCTAATTTAATTCAGATTAAATTTAAACTGTAATGCTTGGACAGTTAGATTTTATCGTACTAATACTTGGAGGGTATCTGGGCAAGATCGTAACGCCGGTGGCAGTTTTTTTGGCACATTCCCACATCGCAGTATTTAAGCGCGTTCAAAATTCACGGTGCGTTGACTAATAAGCGTGAGAACTTTAATCCTCGAATGTGGTATTCAACACTACGGTGGTCATGAGGAAGAGCTGGAACGCACAAAACGCAACGTGAAATGGGCTACTTCGTTTGCTTTATTGTTCTTGAATCCGATTTAAACCTCTGCGATCCTAGTTGCCCACGTAAGCATAAGTATTGCTCATCTGTCTCTGTGGTCTCCACTGGAAGCGTCGATCATGGTGTTCAACGCCCCGGCATGTGGTCTTGAACCACACCGACCGTTTTACTAGACAGCTCAGCCTAATTATGCTGCCGAGTGCGCCTACTCACGATGGTGCATGAATAACGTGGTGAACTGGTAAAAATACGAATGCACAGTCGGATGAGTACAATGGGTAGTGGGGGTGGTGCGTGCACAGGGGCGTAGGCGCAGACGCTCCTTCATGGTTGGCGGGCTAGCTGTGAAAGGGGGACAGGGAGTAGGAGAATGCGGCGACGGAGCAGACAGACGGACGGACGGACGGACGTTAATCAACCCAACTCACTACAATTGCAATAACATTGAAGGAGAATTACCTTCTCACAGCTGCAGAACCATACTTCATGCCGTCATTCTTCTAGACGGCCTCCTAGTGCAGCGAAGAATGCGACTTCGCACACCTCCCACTTACCTTGCTAACGCTAAAACTTACATTTTTAAAAAAAACATTGTACAGTGTTTAAGGGTTACAAAAAGCGGTAAATCTTACATATTTGTTGTGCAGAATGAGGACTGAAATGCTACATTTTGATTTTCCCTCAACGAGTCCTTGATTTTGATTATAACAATGATGATGATTATTATTATTATTACTGCCGTTTTTCCCTACAACGCGTTAAATGCACCTTTTCATGCTTACATTCATTACCTTGTTCGCCGCCTGGAAGCCCTCAGTAAAGGTGTCACAGGTGAAAATGACCCAGGTAAGTCCCCTCCACACCCGCCGCATCTCCCCATGCCACTGCGGTGGTGGCAACGCATGCGCCTAAATGTGGTTCTGTGGCGACTTACTCACGCGCCACGTGTTTGTGTCTGCTTGTAGCGTCCAACAGGAACCAAGGAGAATAGCAAGAAGACCAGGGTAAAGGCAAGCACCCCCTAACCCACTCCGTGCATGCTCTCGCACACGCTCTTTGTTGGTTGGCACTGTTCTCAAAAGAGATCTTTCCAATGTCGAGTTCGAACTGGCTTGTGAAGTGCCAATTGATGTTGTATCGCACACAGCTGTGTTGTAACAATAAGTACTCTTCCCAGGATGCACCACAACTGCGCAGTTTGGGGGTGAAGCCTCGTCAAATGCAGCCAGGCCCAGTGGCCACTGACAAATGTGTTCAAATTCTGCGAAGTGCCTCGTGCGTGTCAGAGAAGTGCGCAGTTCCATGTGACTTGCCTTACTACCTGAGCCCACTGCAACTTACCCAAACCACCGACTCAATGCCCAGATTAATTGTATCGGTTTGTTAAAAGAACACACCAATCTCGTTGTTACGACGTTTGCTATCATTACTCCCTTCGCAGACT